CCTTCCATCTGGATCCGTCCGAGCTCGATTCGCACACGCTTTCGGACGACGATGACGACGACGCCGTGCTCGGACTTGAGGCTCTCCAGGGCGGCAAGCAGTCGATGCTGGCGGAAGTGTCGCACTCGGTGGTGCGGACGAGCAAGTCGATGCCCAACCTCGCTGCTGCCGCAGTGCCACCCGAGGGGGCGGATCTTGTAGCGTGGCATGTTGAGTTTCCACTCGACGATGCGCGTGTGGTCAAGCCTGTGCCCCTGGCTGCGCTTCCCTCGCTTTCTGCGCCGCTCGCCACGCCGCACCGCAACAAAGAGATCGGATTGGGCATCAGCGACCCTACGACGCCGCGGAAAGCGATCAAATACACTGCTGCGCCCGAACTCGCCTCGGAGGCGGCACCCTCGACGGCCGGCATGTCGCTTCGCGAACGAATCCAGGCCAAAGAGCAGCTGCGGCGCACAGCTTCGCTTCCCGCCCTGGCTTCGGGGTCCATGACGCCCATGCAGGCTCTTTCACAACGTGCACTCGTATCGCGGCTTCCAGAACTGTGCTCGATCCTCTTCATGCTGTTTTCCAACGGTACCACGCTGTCGTGGACGGGCATCACGCGCTCCCCGACGATTCCCATGCAGGATCTGCTGGCCAAGCTGAGCAAAAGCACAAAGATCACGCTTAGCCCACGCGAGTGTCGCGCCGCCATCGACCTGCTTGCCTCCATAGCACCAGGCTTCTTGGTCGTCCTCAACCCCTCGGACACAGCCGCGGCTGGCACCAAGGAGTACGTCCGCCTAGGCACCAATCCCGACACCAACGCCCTCTGGAGACTGAACGATCTGCGAGCCCGCATCGCCTCGCAACTCAATGCCCACAAGTAGACTTTAGCACCATGCCAACCTTTTCACATCCCGGACAGCATCCCGACGCAATTGCATCCTCGTTCTGATCTCCATGTGACTGTGCTTGTGAGCGAAAGAGAAAGCGATCAGCGACGCTTGTAGATGCACGGCTTGAGCAGCTGCTTGCCATGGCTCGCGAGCTGGTCGAGCGTAGCCGTGTGCGGATCGAGCGTGGGCGCATCCGTGTTGCGCAGGGCAGCAGCGTGTGCGGCGTGGTCAAGGCGCGTAAACTCGAACAGCACAAAGTGCGTATTGGAGGCGTCCTATCGACAAACAACAAGAGCGAGAAAGAGGAATCAGAACGAGGACGCATGATGCTGCTGGTCACAGCGACGAAGCTCACCTTGTGTTCGAGGCCAAAGCCGAGCATCTGGACGATGTCGACAAACGCCTCGAAGCCATCGAACCGACTCGAGACCTCGGCGACAATCAGCTCGCCACTACAGCACAATTCGCACGGGATACAAGCGTCAGTTCAGTTTCCTGCAAACTTACTCTTGGCTGTCAGAACTTACCCGACTCGCAGCACGCGCTTGGCCTCGAGGATCATATGGATCCAGTTGGTGCCCATGAGGCTGAGGCAGAAGACGGCCACATCCGCCACACCGGGTGCGGCGTCTTGCGGGGTTGCTTGCAGACCCAGCGGATCTTCTTGGTCAAAGTAGCCTGGCAGCGGCAGCCCACCAATGGCGGCCGTATCCTGCTTCCTCACCCAGCCGTCCTTGGTGGTGAGCAGGTCGTAGCACAGCACCTTGACGCCCTTGGGCACGAGCTTCTTGGCCAGCCCGCCCTCGCCGGCACCCAGGTCGACGACCAAGGCACCGGGCGTGAAGAGCGCCTTGCTCTGCTTTGTGAATTTCGACACGGACGCGCCTGCCGTCGACTTTGCTTTCGCCTTGCTCCCCTTGGTGACGCTGGCCGCGGAGGCGGGGTCGAACATGTCGACGATGCGATCGAGTGGATTCTTGGGCCACGAGCGCACCTGCTCGCGAAATCCTTGGTGGTACTCGTCAAACATGACGGGCGACGCGTCGATCATGCGCACCGCCTCGTCCGACGCCGTCGTGTAGAGCTTCTCGTTGATCGTCCGGAAGCGAGAACCGGAGAGCTTCGAGAGCATCTGCGCCTGCAGTGCGGTGAGTGCTCCGCCTGCCGGACTCGCCGGGCTTTGCTTGACCGCTGCCTTGGGTGTCGATGGCGATGTCGACTCGCTGTGCTTCTGTTGCTTGGCCGACGTTTCTGGCGCTTTGGACAGTGCAGCAGGAGCGCTGCTGTCGTCGGTGGATTGCTGCTGCGCCTTGAGCTGCTTGTTGATCTTTTTGCGCTGCGTCTTGGACAGCTTGCTGAGGTCCACTTCCTCCCCTTCTACAATGACGATGCGCGGCTGATTCTGCGCCGCCCTCTGTGCCTCGATGCCCGTGCTGGCGAACGGATCTTTCTTGGCAGGTTTGGCAGTCGAAGAGGCACTGCCACCGCTCTGCTGCTTGGCCTTCTTGCTCGCCGTGATGGCATCAGCCCTGCTGACATCCTCGGCGTCCGAATCGGAGCCATCTCCGCCCCGAGAGGCGGGCTCCTCTTGCCATCGTTTGCGCTTGGCCGTCAGCGCACCCTTGAGTCGCAAATCGGCCGCACTGTTCGCCTTGCCATTCGCAGCGGGCGCGTCGGATGTCTTGGGCGTGGCTCCTACACCGAGATTCGCCTGGCGTGGTCTCGAAGATGATGATGCGGCAGCAGACTGCTTTGTCGCTTCGGCGGCGGATCCGGCTGCGCTCAAGCCAGGCAGCTTGGCGAGGATGCTATCGGCGAGCGCCGAACGCTTGAGTTCGAGCTGAGCCTGGAGCTGGTCCAGGTCCAAGCCGTTTGACATGGTCGAAGAGGTGCGCAAGCAATACTGTCGGCTCCTCCGGCAGTGGCGTGAGAGCTCGTTGGGTGATTAGGCTAGTGACAGGTGGTGGTCGCGAGCTGGGACCCCATGCAGTCAAATTTCCCGTCCCGACGAGGAAAGAAAAAAAAGGGCTCTGCCAAAATGCCGCGGGAGTCCCAGGCCGAGATCCGCGGCTGCATCTCATTTTCGTCGCTGCCGATTCCGCGGGTGCAGCGAGTGACCCATCGAAGCAGAGACGCTGCTCAGCGCCTTCTGCAGCATCATCGTCCTCCTCCCTGTCTCGCTTGCAACTCACAGCTTCCGCGGCAAGGGTCATCCGGGCACAGATGACAAGCTGCACCATGCACGACGCTTCCGCTTCCGCATCTACGAACCCTGCCATCAGCATGCGGCGCGCGTCTGCCTCGTCGCCAGGTTCACCGTCGCCATCGCCCCAGCAGCCCGCGCCGGCTCGCAGGACCAAGGTGAGCTGCTTCCCTTGCCGAACGCGCAAGTCGAAGTGCGATCATGCGCGACCGTGCTCGTCGTGCGTTCTGCGCGGCACCGAGCAACAGTGCGCCAACCCAAACGGCGCGGCGCCTTCGAGTGCGCAGCCTCCGTCGTCGGGCTCAGGCACCTCGACGCCCGTCCATTCGGCTGCCAAGTCACGCCCGTTGCCGTCATCGGCCTCGATGCCTGGTCTCACCGACTATGCCACAAATCAACCCATCAACAACGCAAACAGTCTCAACAGCTCACATGCCAAGAGGAGGCGCACGGAAGCACCGCCACCACCGCCTGGAACAGCGGCTGGACCTTCTCAGTCACGTACAGATCCAGATCAAGACATCCATCAAGAGGTCAATCACATGAAACAGGCCCTGGCGCGGCTGGAAGACATGCTCGAGCGTCGGTCCCGCGATCTGCCCCAGCCTGGCCCCACTTCGTCGAGTTCCACCGCGTCCAGCCCGGCAGTCTGCGACTACAAGCTCGATCCCATCCAAGACTGCCCGGGTGAGGCCGATCCACCTTCAAAAGAGTCCAGACAGCGCTGGCACAGGCTGCGCTTCCTCTTGCCGCCGCTCGTCGACACACACACCATCATGTACTATCTCTTTGTCGAAGGCGATTGGCTCATGCCCTGGATCGAGCCGCCTCGCTTCATCGCGCGCTGGCGACACGCCTACGAGCGCCAGGCCATCTCGGACGTCTTGGCCATCCAGGTGCTCTGCATCGTCGCCAATGCGGCGCTGCTGCTCTCGGACAATCGCCAGCGCATCATGCAGTGTCCGATCCCCGTCCGCACGCTCCATGTACAGCTCATGAAGGAGGCCGTCAGCATGGCCGACGCCATGCCCGCCCTGCGTGACGGCCGCACCGAGGCAGAGAGCTGCGACCTGCTCGAAATCATGCTCAGCATCAGCTTCTACTTTCGCTGCATCGGCAAGGAGGCGCTCATGGGCCGATACTGCGAGCGCGCCGTGTCGCACGCCGTGCGCATCGGCTACGACAACGAGTTCCGCCCGTGCTGGCTCGGCCTCACACCATACCAGGTCGAGAGACGCCGGCTACTCATGATGGAGGCCATCCTCACCACAAAGTGGATCGCCTTCCACTGCCGCAAGGAGCTCGCGCATCTGCGTACACGCTCCTTCAACCTCGGCAGGGCGCATCTCGAATACGTCGGCCAGCTGCCGCCGCTTTCGGCTTGGCCCGAGTCAGACTCACTCTCGCTCGCGATCGGCGCCCACGCACGATCTTCACCCTCCTCGTCTGGCGCTGCGACCGCCATTTCACACTACCTGCCGTGGCGTCCAAAGACGGAAGAGGAACGCGAGGTGGTGCGCACCTACGTCTTTGTCTCGTGGTCCTTCAGCCACGAGCTGACGGCAATCGTCGATCTGATCAGCAAGACCGAGACGCGTCTGCTGCAGCCCGAGGCGCTCACACGATGCACCAAGGAAGACATGCGCGACATGGCCCGACAGACACGCCAGATCCTCGCGCGCTTGAACGAGTGGTTCCACAGCTCGCTGCCCAAAGTGGGTCTCGGCTTTGATCAGATTGTCAACTCGGATGCCAACGGCGCCGATCCGATCCAAGCAAAGCGTCTGGCTACCATGATCATGGTCAACCACGCCTACATCTACAAGACGTCCATCCTGTGTCGTGCGTGGCTGCTGCTGTCCGACCGACTGCAGAGTCTCAACGATCTGCATCGCGAAGACGAGCACGAGCATCCCGCCACCATGGACCAGCACTTCTTCGCCCAGTTTACGCAGCGCAGCATCGACCACGTGCAGCACATGCATGCTGCGTGGCTGCCGCCCACCTTTCTGGCCGAGATCGAGGCGGCGGTGCTGGAGAATGCGCGGCTGTGCATCCGACTCATCCCGGTCATCCGCACACTGCAGTCGCAGCCGTGGTCGCACTTTTACATCTCCTGGGTGAGCCAGTCGAGCATGCAGGTGGCCGTCAACCTCGCCGTGCCCCTCGTGCGCTCGCACCACCGCCAGAATCTGTCGCTGCACACGCAGCGCACCAAGCCAGGCGCGGGCGTCATGGCGTCGCGCACCGACGAGCTTCGTCAGGACATTGTGACGATCTTTGAGGCGGTCAGTCAGCTGTCGGACAAGGTGATGGCACGGCGCACGGCAAGGGTGCTCAATGGGGCTATGCAGTTTGGCGGGATTGAGCAGCCGATGAGCTGTGCGGATGACGACGACGACGCCAACGATGTGTGGCAGTCGGAGGAGAATTCGGGCCAGATGCACAAGGCTGCCGAAGGACTGGCGCTGCTTTCGGCCGCTTCGGCAAGCGACGCGAGCGCAAGGACACCGTCGGACCGATACACGAGCAGCAGTCAGGGCTCGCCTGCCCTAGCAACGCGCGCGTGGGAGTCTACCGGCCGCGACACAATACAAGCACGATGGGAGGGTCAAGCCAGAGGTACAACCCACTCGCATTCGACTCCGACATACTGGCACACTGTTGCGCCCGCCTCTCACAGTGCAGCCGCTTCAGAAACTTCCGTGCCGGCCCCCTCGGCGGTGTCGGGCATAGAGGGTGGAGTGGCGAGACAGCCCATGTGGTGGGAGACGCGCTTTCCCATCGATACCAAGCAGCCCGCTGACGGCAGTACCACCGCCACTGCTGGCAGCAGCAGCTTCGGCAATACCGCGGAAGCGGCCGGCGGCGGCCAGACCATCATGTCCGACTCGCAGCTGCTGGACGAACTTCTCAACCTCGACGTCTCCTTTTGGCAGTTTGTCGTCGACGGCACAGGCCTCACCGCCGCATCTTAGCTTTTTCTCCGAGCTCGAGTGTTCTTTGTTCATTTTTCGCATATTTGGCTAGGTAAGAACTTGCTTCTGCTGCCAGAGACTACCGGTCGTTGAGAGTCGCTTCACTTGGCCTTGAAGACCTCGTACACTGTCGGGTGCATGGAGGCAATGAGTCAGCAACAGCAAGAGCTGGCGTAAATTTGGTAGTCGAGCTGCGACTCACCCACTGCAAGACCGTCCGAAGAGATCTCGAAGCGCCCCTTGCCGACAAAGACGGTGCGATTGAGCCAGGCGAGCTTCGAGGTGGCGGGTGCCTCGATCACGGGGGTCGTCTTTTCGAACGGAAGCGTGGACATGATTGAGCGACCGGAATCCTACTAGAAAGGTGGCGGAGGAGGCGTGGGCACTTACGAGAAGGTACTGGTCGTCAAAGTTGGTCGACTGGGCTGAAGCGTCGCCTCCAAGGACTGCAGGGGTACAGGAAACATCAGAGCGTGAATCAATTTCAATCCTGGATGGTTTTCGGAAGAGTTGTTCTTGGCGACGGCGGGGGTGACCTCGAGGTGACCGTAGTACTGGATGTAGAGCGCCTCGCCATCCTGGGTGATGGCATGGACGCGCACGTCGAGCTTGCCGTAGCCGTCTCGGACGATGGCAAAGTCTCCGCCGTTGGGAGTTACCTTGGCCTCGACGCCTTCGCCCTTGACCGTGCCGCCAGTGACGGGGATAAAGGCTGATGAAAAAAAGCAAGTCAGAGTGGCGGATTGCAGATAGGTGCGTGGGCTAGAGCACAACTTACATCGGTCGCCGACGGGCGTTCCGGGTGTGGCGTGAGGCGAACCCACGGTCAGAGTCATGGTGAAGGCGTGCGTGAGGCTGATACTGGGCTTCGACATGTTGGCTTGCTGCGACTACGCTTTCGAGAGAGGGGAGGTATGGTCAGGAGGAAAGATCGCACTGCGACTCGACTCGTGTTGGCCCGACCAGGCTGGGAACTGCAACGTCGGCACCCCCGACATGTGACTGAGCGGCAAGCTTCCGCGTCAAAGCCGGCACCATAACCGCCAGTGGAGGCTCGGGAGAGCCGCCGCGTCCGTGCGCCGTGCAGGGTTGGACCCCGACTGCTGCGTAAAAAAGACGCCGCGGGCCAGATCGGCGTCTCGCGCAAAGGCAGGGCCCGATGAGGCCAAATTGAGATCCGCACGAACCGCACGAAACGCCTTAACAGAGCTTGGCTGGCGAAGAGCGGCGAATCTCCACTCTCAAACACCGAATAATGCGAACGGACGCTGCCGGCCTCCATGACGCCAACGCTGACTCAACGGGCTTCCTCATCCCACCCCTCGTCTTGCTCCAACGCAACGTCAACGCCAACGGAGGCAGGCAGGACCCTGGATCGCAACCTGCCATACACCCACGCCACGCCCAATGCGCTGACATCCGACATCGCCCTCGCTCCTCTGGCCTCCGCAACGACCTTCTTTGCTGGACTCCTCCATCTTGATCCTCGCTTCACTTCATCATCTCGTCCACCCTACAACATCGCCCACCATGGTCAAGTCGGACGCCGATGTAATCAAGGAGTTCAACGAGCTGGTCAACATGACCGCGCCCGAGCTGGAAAAGTGGCTCAAGTCGGACGACTCCACCTCGTCCGGCTGGACCAACGGCAACTCGGACGGCGAGACCGTCGGCCACAACTCGGGCACCAAGATCGTCGACATCCTCAAGCGCAACCCGGACAAGAAGGACGACAAGTACACCGACGACGACCTCAAGCACATGCGCAAGGTCGTCAGCTACAACAAGCGCCACCTCGCCCAGGAGGAGCATCTCAAGCAGAAAAAGTCGGCCGACGAGCTCAAGCAGACCAAGAGCTACAAGAGTCTCAAGAGTGAGTAACCCTTTTCCCCCTTGTCTCCTTGCCTTCCCACGCGTCGAGTGCTTCAACTTCATTGCGGCCACCTCCTCACTGCATCGGAGTTGAGAGCTGCGGCCGACCCAGCGCTCCGCGCCTTTACCGGCAGGCTGCTGCTGCTACAACCGACTTCGCCTTTCCGACAAACACGTCCTGACACGCCCCTCGACTCGCCCGCCGCCGTCCCTTGCTTGCTGTCGGCAAAGATGGTGCATCCGACCCACTGGCATCGTCGGCTTCGTCGTCGTCCGCCCCAGCCGCTTCCGGCAGCTCTTTCCGCTCGGACGTAGCGCTTCCAACCGCACTCAACCTCGGCAAGATCGGCTCGTCGGCTACCACCGCCTCCACGGCCGCAGCGTCGTCGCTCGCGTCCGCCCAGGCGCGCCTCTCGTCGGCAGAGTACCTCGACCAGCTCGAGGAGAGCGTCAACAAGACCATCGACGCCGAGATCGACACGCTGCTCACGAGTTACAAGGAGCTCGTCAGCCTCGCCAGTGTAAGTCCGCGTTGCCGCGCGCGTGCGCACGGTGTTTTTCTTTCGTCGAAGAGACTCGGCATCTAACTTCTTGGACTTGCGCTACAGATTGCGGACAAGGACAAGTTCCGTGTGGCGCAGGAGGCGTTCCAGACTGAAGCGAGAGCGGATATCATGGTGCGTACTTGTCTATTTAGGCAGTGCTTTTGATGCGCAGTCAAGCTGACGTTTGTGCTTGGGAATTTGGGGTAATGGCAGGTTCGGTCGGTGCAGACGCTGTCGTTGCTCTCCGAGTCGCTCAAGCTGTCGCTGCTGCTGTCCAAGGCGCCGGATGCGACGCTCAGCGACGAGGCGGTCGAGCTCATGCACAGCACCGAGCGCGAGAAGCTCAAGTGCGCCGTGCTGCTCGCCGAGCTGCTCGGCCTGGACAAGCAGGCGGCAGGCGAGTGGGTCGAGCAGATGGACAGCAACGTCTCGGCGAAAGCTGGGGCACCGCCCTCAGGGCCCGCAGCGCCAACCGAGGCCAGCGAGACTCGCACCGCAGAGTCGCAAGCTGCTGCGGCAACACAAGCCGACGCGGAAGACGACGACATCGACGACGACGACATGGAAGACGTTTCTGCCGGCTGAGCGGCGTGCGAGCCCGACTTTGGACTGTTTCATTTGTTGCATCCGCGCGCACAATGCGTTGCGCGCCTACGTCTACGCTTCGCCCTTCGTCCCGACGCGCCTTAGCCTGCTTATCGTCGTCGCCTTTCGCCTCTCTCCACCTGGGCTGCCAGCGCGAATAGCCAAGACTGACCACCACCGTTGCGCCTCTTTCCAGACTGGGGCCACGACCCTCTCAAGGCCAAGTGACGCGCGCGGCCAAGCCGGACGCAAGCGATTGCCCAACACCACGCTGCACCACGCCACCGTCGTTGCACGCTCCCGTCGCTGCAAGATTCGCATTGCGCACTTAGAAGAACGGTTGGAACTGCCAGAACTCCTGCTGTGCACCCATGACGTCGTGTGTGCTTGGGCGGATTTGGCCGGTGTGCATATCGACCATCTGCTGCGCTGTGGCCCTGTACACGTCGTCGAGCGTGGTATCGTCGTGCGAGAGCGCAAGGAGCGTGTTGAGTTGGCCGCGGTGCGGGGGAGGGGGATGGGCGAGGCTGTGGATGTAGAGCGTGCGCACCGCTTTGGGGAGGTGCTCATCGACGCTCTCGCGCGACGCCTTGAACATCTCGTCCCACCCCAACTTGCGCGTGCACAGCGGGTTGGTCAAGTGCGAGGGCGTGAAAGCCGGACGGCCACGCACGATGTAGTAGTAGAGCAGGTGCGCACCGAGTGCACGCAGCATCGCCCCGCGCGACGACGCCGGCAGCAGCTCGAGCAGCAGCGGCGTAAAGAGATGAACGTTGTTCACGTGCATCCTGTTGTGCAAAGCGTCAGCCAACTTCGCATGTGCTGCATGGCGCAAGGGGCGAGCGGGACTTACAGGAAAAAGTCGTGATGATACGCGCCGTCTTTGAGCGGCACTGCGCCGAGCATGAGTGCTGCAAGCAGCGCCACTTCGGAGCTGGCCTGGCCTATGTCATTGACGTTCCACGCATCGATGTATTCGTGCACCACACCATACGCGCGCCCACCTTTCTCGAACGGCTCGTCGATGAGTGGCGTATCAGCCTCGCGCAGCCCTAGCGCGTCGACGGCGACTCGAGCGTCGGACTGCACCTCTCGCACCAGCTCCAACAGGCTCTTTCCCGCACGCGGGGTTTGCATCAGCCAGTCGTGCGGGGTCAACCACGTATGCCTCGCCGCAGTGACAGCAGCCATAGCCATCGCCTCGGCCGCCACGCCAACCACACGCGTCTCGACCGCATAGCCAAAGTGGATGGCCGCATGCAGCACACCCCCCAACCAACGCGCTAGCATCTCCCTCCCCGCTTGATTCGCACCCGCGCTGAAGACGTATTCCTCCAACACGCGCGCCATACCCAGGTCCTGCAGCTTGTGCTCGAAAAAGTGCAGATACGTCCAGTAGTGACTCGGTCGGCCCAGATGATCGCCCCAATTGGCGTCGGTGATCTTGGGCACAGCCGCGCTGTCGGTGGTGTGGGGATCGTAGCGCTCGCGACGCGAGAGGCTGAAGCCGCCCAGGTAGTGGTCGCGCTGGTACTGCATGTGCGAGCGCAGATCGGCGGGCGTAGCACCCAGCGTCACGTCGGCGATCAGCTGGTGCACCAGGTGATTGTGCATCCCGCGCGTGTTGAAGAAGCAGTGGTACGACGCGTGGTTCGTCGCCAGCAGCGAGCTCAGCTCGCGACGCGAGTCGTCTCGCACCAGCGGCGAAAGCGCCCCAAACGCCGTACTCGCCTCGAACGACATGGTGGAATACCAACGAGCTGGTGATAGTACTCGGGTGGAGAGAGCGGATCGCAAGTGGCCGAGGGATGGTCGATGCATCGCTTTGGCGAGCAATGGTGGTGTGTCGATAGCTCAGCTGTGGAGCGGTCAGGAGCGTGTCAGCGTGGCGCGTGCGCGCAGAATGACAGCTGCCGCGCCGCTCTCGAAAATCGGCGGCCCTCTCCTCCACCCAACACGATGCACTCCACCGCACACACCTGCTCACTTCACCCTTCACAGCGGTGGGACTTTGTACTGCGCTTGTTGACATGGAGACTGGAGTGAGACGTGACATGCGAGGGACGAGAACCGGGAAGGGAAGGGAGATCAAGGTGTTGCGTCTCTACCCTTCTAGCGGGGAGGCAACCACCTTTTCTCCCTCCTTTTCCCTCTAGGCGAGTGACTTGGGAAAGAATGTGGATGCGGCGCGGGGGACTATTGCTTGGTCATGGTCAAGCCGGTGAGCACGCCAGCGTCGAGGCCGGAGAAGACCTGGAAGACGCCCTTGGTGACGTCGATCCAGTTCCACGTGCAGCCTGCGCAGCGGTCCACGACGGTGACCACTGCATGTTTGCCCTGGGGATCCGAGATCTTGATCCTGTCGCCGCACTGGAAGGGCGAGTCGAAGCTGATGGCGGCGGTCATGCTCGAGTCGCTCGGTGTAGGTGCACCGGGACATGCGGGGTTGAGCAGTTGCGACCCGTAATAGTAGGTCACCTTGCCGCCGTTGACCTTCTTGCCCTTGCTGTGGTGCTTGCGCGTTTCGAGAGCGGGTGCTTCCAGCGCCGACGAATCGTCCACAGCATTGTGCGGGATGGCTTGGGGTGCAACGGGGATGCGTGGGTGCGAAAGTGGGACCATGTCCGGAGAAATGTGCTGCACCGGTGTACCAATGTGCGTCTCGCGACCGGGGGCGAGCGTCTCGTGTTGCGGAACAAGCGCCGCCGACACTGCACCCGCCAAGAGTGCGCTCAGAATCAACGTCGTGCGAACCATCGTAACGACCAGAGATGTATGTGGTGGAGAGAGTTGTTGAGCGAACAGAGACGCCGAGTAGACTTTGTTGGGTATATATCACAGCCCCCACTCGGCGGACAGCGGATGGCAAGAATCAACAGCACACATCGCCCACATCGCCCACAACGTCTACACACAGTGGCTCCCGCCGGTAAGCCGCCAATCTGCCAGCAACAGCAGCGAGGAGAAAAAGAAAAACTCACGCTACTGCAGGAGCCAGTCAAAAGCGAATAGGCCAATGCAGCTTGGAGGCAGAGGTTCGTGCATTGCCGCCCGCCCCGAGCGTGGGATGGACCATCTCAATCCACACGTCCTTGCCAGCAAACACAGAGAGCCGTGAGGAGGTGCGCAACCCCCAAATGCAAGGGGCACCAACCCCCCCTTCGCAAAATGAGCCCTTTTTTTCAATTGATTGTTTTATTTTGTCGAGTGAGCCGCCGCCATCATCCAGCGCGACATGTCACATCGAAGCATCCCGGCGGCTCATGCATGGAAACAACATCTCATCTTGCCGCGCTCGCACTGATCGCTTCGGTCCTCGCACACGCCCCACTCATCTGCACTGTGACACTTGCAATTCCACCCATTCTAAAGACATTCGGCCGCCGAGGCTCTTCAGCGCCCACACCCGATCAACGCGGTTCGGTCCTCGCGCAGCGAGTAGAGAAACACCCGGCCGCACCCCACCACGCCCACGGCGCTGCTGTCGGGGAAGGCGGCGGCGATGGCGCGTGCTTTGATCAGCCGCGCATACTCGCGCTCGTCGGCAGACAGCGTCTCGAGGAACGCGCGGAACATGTAGGCGCCCTCGTCCTCGCCCTCGCCCTCACCCGCGCCCGCGCCGCCGTGGCTGCCCAGACACGCCGTCAGCGCCGCGGCGAGCCGATCGAAGTTGGCGCCGGTGAAGTCGACGGCGAGAATGGGCACATTGCCCGCCTGCAGCTGGTCCGCGAACTTGGACACCTGCCGGCTCGCCTTGTCCAGCACCAGCTGCCGGCTCGACGGCTTGGGTCGGTTCTGCTGGCTCTTGTCGCCCTTTTTGGATCGCTCGATCGGGCGTTCCGGTAGCAGCATCTCGCGCTCGCGAACCGCGATCGTCGCGGACGGCATCACCTCGTTGCCGCTGTACGTGCGAGTGAAGCCGCCGTGTGCGTGATGGTGGTGGTGGAAATGATGGCCTCCGCCAAGCGAGCCTGGCGCGCCTGACGCGGCTGTGGCCGACCGCGATCCCACCGCGTCCGCCCCCACCGCACCGAACCGGCCGGACGCCGCGGCGGTGCCTGCAGAGCCACCGACCTGCAGATCGATGCTGCGCTGCCGTGCGATGCGGTCCTGCACGAATCCAACCAGCTCGTGCCGCGCCACTTCGAACTCGGCGCGCTGCAGCACCACCTTGACTTTCAGCACGGGCGACCGAGCCTTGGCAAACACGAGCAGCAGGATGCCTTCGGCGCGACACGTGGCGGCGGCGCTCTCGGGCGTGTCGTACGTCGCGTGCTCGTACTGCAGATCCGCCGCGATGCCGTGCGCCCACAGCTCGCGGCAGATCTCCATGCGCGTCTCGAGCAGGCCGGGCGTCGAGGCCACGTACACGTCGCACCGCCGCGGCGTGTACAGGCCAAAGCTGCGCTCCTCCTCGGTGCGCGACAGCAGCTTGGGCACCTGCACCTCCTGGTACTTGGACAGGCCCAGCGTGAGCTTGCCCACCGCCAGCTGCACGCCCACGCCATGCAGAGGCGCCGCCGACGCCGCCGACGGATTGGCAAAGTGCTTGAGCAGCGCATCGTACCGCCCGCCTGCCGCCACCACGTCGCGCCGCTTGCCCGCACGCACCACCGTGAACAGCACACCGCCCTTGTACAGGCTGCTCGACTGCGCCAGCAGCGGCGAGAAGAGGAAGCGGCGCTGCACACCAAAGAAGCGCGCCGTCGCAACCACGTCCGAGATCTGAGACACCGCCTTGGCCAGCCGCGTGCGCTGGTCCAGCGGGAACAGCCGCTCCAGCCGTCGGTGCACCGCCACCACGTCATCATTGAGATTAAACGCTTCCAGCTCTTCGATCGTCGAGCGCGGCAGGCCGAGCTGCAGCAGCTGTGTGCGCGCCGCCTGGATCGTCTTGGATCCGGCGAGCAGCGCCACCACGCCAAGCACCGCCGTGTGGTGCTTGGCAGGGATGCGGTCGAGGATCATGGACAGGATCACCTCATGGTTGATGTGGATGACCCAGTTCTCGCTCGCCACGCCGGGGATCTCGTCCAGCACCTCTTCCACCAGCGCCAGCGCCTCGGCCTCGGCAGCCGCCGACTTTTCCGGCGACACAATGTCGAACGACGCCGCCAGCACTGCACGTGGCTGTCCGCCCGCCACGACGTTCTCGCGAAAGACGTTGCTGATCTCGTACCGCTTGAAGCGCTGGTTGCTGCTGCGTGCAAACACGCGCGCAAACGGCACTGTCAGATCGTACGGAAGATGCACCACGCGGCCCGTCCGGTCGAGCATCTGCACGATCTTCTCGCTCGCAGTGTACAGTCCGTTGGGCGGCACGATGAGCGGCGCAGCAAACTCGACGGCTCCGTGCCTGCGCGCTGCGCTGCGAATCAGATCGCACACCACGGTGGTCAACGACGTATCCCGGTCCGTCTCGGCGCCTGTGTCGAAGGTGAAGTCGCGCACCAGATCCGCTGCGGTTCGGCTGAAGAGCGCATCCATGAGCTGGTGATTGTACGCGCTCGTCGGATTGGCCATGAGGCGCAAGCACTCCTCGATGTACTCGTCCTCCATCTTGGGCGGCAGCAGATCGCTCTTGAGGATCTCGAGCGGCGACGGTCTTCGATCGGGGTCGTGGTCGAGCATCTGCCGGATCAGCGCCGTCTGTTTTTCGAGCTTGGCGTGCGGCCAAACGGCGGGCAGCCCCACGCCCTGGTTGCGCAGCTCGCGAATCAGCAGGATGCGTTCCATGCCCGTGCGGTACACGCGCTGGCTCGCAAGCATCTCAAAGAAGATTATGCCGAGCGAGTAGATGTCCACCTTGAAGTTGTACTTGGTGCCGCCCTTGGCGCGCAGCTCGGGAGCGGTGTAGAGGAAGGTGCCCAGATCGCCGGTGAGATCGGTGCTCTCGGCGAGCTCTGCAGTGCCGGTCAAAGTGCCCGCATTGCCATCGGCGATCTGGAGCGCATTGGTGGCTAAACCAAAGTCGCCGATCTTGACGTCGCCGTTGGCATACATGAGCACATTGGACGGTTTAAGGTCGCGATGGATGATGCCGAGGCTGCTGATGTGGGCGAGCGCCTCGACCATCTGGCGCAGGATGCGCCACGCCTCGTCTTCGGTGAGGCCCTTCTCGATTGCCTCGCGCAGCGTGCGGTTCTCGACAAACTCCATCTGGATGTACAGCACGCGCTGAACAGGAACGTTGCCGGGTGGTCGGGCGACGCTGACGCTCCTCGACATGGACCGGCCCGCGCGGGACGCACGCCGCGACGACAGAGGGATGCGGCTGAAGTCGTCGTCGTCGTCATCGTCTTCGAAGTCGTCGTCGGAGCTCGATTCGTCGCTGTCCGAGTCATCGTCACTGCTGGCGTCCGAGGGTGTGCGCAGCGCTAGTAGGCCACCTTTGAAGGACGTCTCGGCTTTGGCGCGGGCGGAAGCGCTGGTGTTGCGCGGGTCTGGGTTGCTGTCGTCGTCGTCATCGTCTGCGAATCGGATGTCGCTGTAGCTGCCTGTCAGGCGAGACGAGCTGGCCCCCGATGCAAAGACGTCGTCATCCTCGTCAAAGTCCGGCACAGCGCGAAATGAATCGTCGCGGCCGTTGTCGGACTTTTTGGGCACGGCGGGACGCTGGAAGCGGTTGCCGAAAGCCGACATGGAGAGGCTGGGTCCGGAGGCGTGCGTCTTGCTGGTGGTCGTGTTGGTCTCGAGCGTGCGTCCGGAGGTGAAGCCGTCGGTGTCGCTACCGGCCAGGCCTGTGATGGGCACGTGCGTCTCTTCGATCCAGCACGTCGAGTATCGCACGATGTGCGGATGATCGAGACGGCTGAGCGCGCTGATCTCGCGCAACGTCCGCTCGTCCTCGTCGGGCGAGCTGGAGAGCTTGATCTTTTTGACGGCGTAGAAGCGGCCGTCGAGACGGTTGCGCGCCTTGACGACGCTCCCGAACGCGCCCTTGCCGAGGAACTCGACCTCCTCAAAGTCCGAGAGGTAGCGCGAGGAGGAAGCGGCATGCGATGCGCCAGGACCGCCAGGCGCACGGAAGGGCCAGAGCGACCCGAACGCTTCCGAGTCGAGCGGGTTGCCGAGCCGAGGGCTGGGCGAGGCGAGTAGGTTATTCTGAGGATCGCTCTTCTGTCGAGCCGTTCCCGGCCGAGGGGTGGCCTTGATGGCGCTCGTCGTAGCCAAGTCGGTCGCAGCGTTCGAGGCGGAAGCTTGAGGCGCCATCTTGGTGCTGGATCCCTGTGAGAGCTCGGTGTCTTCGTAGAGGATGAGCTCTTCCAGCCGCGACACGAGAGAGGCGGCGGTGGGGCGCTTCTTGGAGGCGCGCTCGAGCATGAGCAAGAGGAAGGCTTGGACGTGGGGAGCGAGCGATTTGGAGCTGCGAATCACGTGCTCTGGCACGTCGTACTCGACGAGGCAGTCCAGGCCGAAGAGCATCTGGCAGGCGCACACGCCGAGATCCCAGATGTCGCGCTTTCTGCTGTAGGAGAGTGGCTGGTCGATGGCCTCGGGCGACCTCCAGGCGTCTGGAAGGACGTTGTCGTGGATGGGGCCGACGATGTCGTTGAGCGGGTTCGACTTGTGCATGTCCTTGAGGCGGCGCGAGTAGCATGCGCCTGCGAGGCGGACGGAGGTGGACGCGCCTGCTTCGATAAAGACCGAGTCGGGAGCGATGCTGCGATGGACGAGATTGCGGGTATGGAGGGAGTCGAGCGTCTTGAGCAGAGCGGCGAGGTGGTGGCGGACGCGCTTCCAGGGGAGCGAGTCGCACTGTTGGAGGAGGCCGCGGAGGGCGACGCCGTCTGTGCGCTCGGTGACGACGCTGAGCTTCCAGCCCTGGGGCTCTGCGACGCGTGTGACGGCGCTGGCGAGGACGTTGAGCAGACCGGGCTCGCGCACCTTGACGAGCTTGTCGAACTCGAACTCGACCTCTTCGAGCTTGCGCTTGCCGGCCGAGTAGGCGTAGTGCTGGGATGTGATGAGGTAGTGCTCGAGGATCCAGGTGTGCGAAGGCACGCGCGAGTCGGCGGGATCGTCGTGGGCAGGCTCGGCGAGATGGCGGATGGCGAGGCCTGCTTTGGACAGGACGGGACCGACGCGGAGGACCGATGTGACTCTGCCGTTGTGTTCGATGGGATCGAGGAAGGTCTCGATGCGCGAAGCATCCGAGGCAGAAGCGGCCGGTGCTGCCGAGGCGGAAGAGGCAGAGCCAGCGGCGGCAGAGGCGGCGGCGGCGGCGGCAGAGGAGGAGGAGGAAGGGTATGGATTTGCCGGGCTGGTAGGGCCGTGATTGGCAAAGTAGCTGTTCTCTCGCTTGCGTTCCTTTTCCTGCTTGAGCAGCGCTGCTTTCTTGCTGGCCTCCTCCTGGATGAGCTGGGCGAGCTGTTCTGATCGTAAGGTTTCAGCGTGCTTTCTGCGAATGCGTTCCTCTTGCTCGTGGGCATGTTGACGCTCCTGTTCTTCCTTTGCGCGCTTCTGCATTTCCTGCTCGAGGCTGAGCGATGGCGCGCCGTCCTTGACTTCTCTGGGGATGGCGTTGTGGATGCTGATGAATTCCTGGCCGGTGGTGATGAGCTCCCAGATCATCTCTGCTCCGAGGAGCGACTTTGCCTTTTGGTTGAGCTCGTGGCTGAGTTTGTGGAGATGGTCCAGGGAGAGGCCGCGATGTCTGCCGTCGTTCTGCTTGACGATAATGGTTGGAGGCACGAGCGGGTAATTCTTCGGCAAGCGAAATGAGACGTAGGCGCAGAGGAGCGGTTTGAGACGCTCTTCATCTGGACGCAGGACTACCTGGAACTCGTGCAGCTGTGCCGAAGCGGCGCCCTTCCACGCCTTTTGCTTGATGGGCACAAAGTCATGGTCGAGGATGGACTGGATGGCCTCGATTTCGGTGGCCTGAATGTCTGCGATTTCTGTTGGGCTGAGGGCAGGGGATGCTGCGGCTGCGCCAGTCATGTTGAGCGAGAAAGGAGTGGTGAGACCATTTCAGGTGGGGGGTCAGGAGGGGGGGGCGGCGGGAGCACTTCCGATGTGCTCTGTGGGCTGCGTAGCCTGACTGGGCTGTTTGGTGTGATCGACTCCNGGGGGGGGCGGCGGGAGCACTTCCGATGTGCTCTGTGGGCTGCGTAGCCTGACTGGGCTGTTTGGTGTGATCGACTCCACTTGCGTGGAGCTGTTCAAAGAGCCGTGCAGCGCAGCATGTCGTTATCGATTGCGTTTGGTTAGATGTGATGGTGGTGGTGATGGTGATGATGAAGAGGAGGAGGTGTGATTTCCTTCGGCGGTCACGAGATCGATGCCTTCGGATGTCGCCGACTGCAGCCGCGAGCCTATTTTCGCCGGGCGTTTCCGACCCCTGCCCAAAAAAAAAGAGGCTCAGCAGAGCAGCACTCTGAGCACGGACCCTCTCTTTCAGCCAAAAAAAAAATGCCGAAAAAGGGCACAATTTAAATCGCCTGTTTTGGCTCGCTTTTTCCGAGGACCCTGAAAAAAAACTCCACATTGCTCTTTGCTCCTCTCCAACGCCATCATCCATCCATTCCGGCGATCACCCAAGCATCGCCCGTCGCAATGAGCCTACAGGACAAGCGCAAGGCTGTTTCAGGCTCCTCTTCAGCTCCGGGTCCCTCATCTTCGAAGCGCGTACGCATCGACGACACCACACGACGCACCGCCAAACGCCACGCCGACACCGACTACTTTGATGGCGATCCCGAGATCGAGGAGCAGGACCGGCGGCGGCTGCGCAAGGACCAGAAGCGTGGGCGCATCGACGACCGGGGCGAGGACCTTTCTGCGAGCGACGATTCGGACGACGACGCCGATTCGGACGCCGGTGCGGATGCAGGTTCGCATCGGCGCCGAGCCGAGCGCCGGCGTAAGGCGAGCGCCAAAGACGGTGCCGACGACGACGACGACGACATGTTTGATGTAGGATCAGACGACGATGCGGCACCGTCGAAGGGCAAGCACAAGGCAGCAGAGAAGAAACGGTTTCTAAAACTGGGCGAGCTGGAAGAGGGCCAGGAATTCGGCTCCAAGAAGCGGTCGGCGCTCGACGCGGATGCCGACGCGGATCTTGTGCGTGGCGATGGCGAGGCGCTCGACGACGACGATGATGCCGATCCCGACCTGGAGCTCGAGGAGGACGCTCGCTCGGCCAATGGGCAAGATGAAGCGGTGGATCTCAACGCGTACGCCGAGCGCACGCCGCCCACCTCGCCGGGCGGAACGGTGCAGGCGCGCGCCAAGGCGCCCAAGGTGACGGGGTTCAACATGAGCGACGAGATGCGCACGGGCGCATTCGACGCCGAGGGCAACTATCACGAGCACGCGCGCGATCCGCACGCGCAGCACGATGCATGGCTCACCGGCGTCTACTCGCGCACCACCATCCTCGACGCGCGGCGTGCGCAGCAAGCCCGTGACCGCGCGCTGCGCGAACGCGAAGCCACCGCGGCCCAGCAAGACGGCGACGAGGACGACATCAAGCGTCGACTGGTCGAGCACATGCAGCGCACCGAGACGGTGCAGCGCACACTCCAGCGCCTCGGCAAGCAGCTTGCCGAACAAAAGAAACGCGGCCAACGAGCAGAGATCGACAAGGCGGCACACGAGGTGGAGAGCGTAACCCATCTGGCATCGGTATTGATGAGCCGCTTTGGCAGGCTGGATGTCTACGAGCAGACGTATGAATCGCTGCTGCACGACGTGCACAAATCGGGCCTGGTGCGAAACACTTTCGACCCTGCTGCCAAGTTCGATCCGCCGACAGAAGCTTTGGACGCAACGCAGACGACGGCCGAATGGGAGTACCGCTGGACGCCAGCTTACCTCGCCGCAGCCGCACGCGAGCAAGGCACATGCGTCGATCCCGAGATCCAAACTTTTGGCCCGTTCAGCCTGGCCGACCTGCACGCCTGGGCGGAGCAGGGCTACTTTGGCGACGGCGGTGACCGCATCCTCGTGCGTCGTGCTGGATCGAGAGATGCCTGGATTCCATATGCCGAGCTTAGTGCAGGATCGGGCTGAGTCGGATGCGTCCAAACCCGGCGCTGAAGGTGGTTTGCTCTGTCCCAACTACCAGTGTATCAGCATGTCATCCGAACGTGAGATAGGGTATGTTGGGGATGAACTTACCGATTCCATCCGGTGGAGCTGTTGCAGGCAACTTATCCGCTGCGACTGCAACCGGCAATGCGCAAAACAAGGTCAGCTCAGATCTCTCCACCCTCGCAAGGCAAGGACACGCACCGTAAATGGCCACCTCGTACAATCCCTCTCCATGCCTTTCGATCCAGGCGAAATCCTGTGGATCTTCCGCGACCTTGACAATGACCCTGATGAACCTTTGTGGCATCTGCGCCTGGTGATGAGGATGTCCCTCTCCCTTGGCCAGGGTAGTGTCGGGCTTGGGCGCAGGTGCAGGAGCAGCAAGCAGTCGATGTGGGATTTGGTTGGGTACGAGCTGTAGCTCGCTGGAGATGGGCAGGGTTGCAGCATCAATCGGCTGATTGAGCGCCAAGCTCACGTCCAGGTACGCCGCTACTGTATCGCGCGCATACAGCAGCGTGATCTCTGCAATGCCCGGAGAGCGATTCTCGTGAACGGACCGGGTGAGTGGAACTCGCAGCTGGCGAGCCGTAAGATCCGCACACCAAAACGGTACTGCTGATCTCGGATTGCCCACCGAACCCTCGGGTGGGGCGGGGAAGCTTACTTTCCACCGCAACTCTTCGCCCGTCATTGTAACTCTGCCTCCCTCCTGTGGGGGCAGGTATCGTAGTCGGGGTGCGACGATTCGCATGCCGTCCTGCGATTCACGCTGCTCCTCCTCATGCGCCGTCTGTCGTAGCCGATGCGCATTGTCGTTAATGCTCTGAATCATGCCGTCGGAAATGCCATCCTGCAGACACCAGTCGATCCACCCCGGGCGCGAGTTGTACCACCAATGCCTCTTCCTCCTCGCCTCAAAGTCCGCCCGCTTTTCGCCAGACGATAGCCCGGGTGCTGCCTCGAACTGCACCAGCTCAATGTACACGCCGTCCGGAAAGACGATGAGCGCATTGGATGTGATCCCGTCGGCGTGCAACCCGCCTCGGACAACCTGGAAGCCGAGGGCAGAAAACGTGCAGATGGCCCGTTCCAGTGCGCTGTCGATCTGCGAAGACGCCGTGCGTGGATCGTTGACCAGCAGAATCAGATGGTCCAGCGCCGGAATCGCCCCCGAAGAGGCAGAGCGTGACGCCATGCTGTATCTCGCTTTCCCTCTGCTAGCGTCGAGAGTGACGTGAGCCCAAGTCGAGCGCCGCTTGGATCGATTGCTGTCGCGCTTCTAACGCGTGCGACGGTGCCACCTGGTGGGTGGGGCGATATTGAACGCTTCGTGAAACGTGTTGGAAGATCCGAGAGTGTTTGGATCAATGCCAGATGGATCGAGCCGAGTAAGATGATGGCGGGAACTCAGTCGCTCGAATTGAGCCTCCAAGAGTCATGAGTGACGCGCACGAGCCGCATCCCCCACCAAACCCTTGGACCCTGACTCGTGACTCCCTTTCCCACCAATCCAAGGTAACATGAGCTTACGCTGAGCACCTTGACACCTCCCCTTGTGCACTCACACCGCTCCGCTGCAGTGTAGCAGAAGCGCCACCGATCCAAGAGCGATCTCTGCCGTCTAAACGCCCGCACCACGCACGTAAGCATAAAGTCTGTTGGCCGTGAATAGCTCTCACACTCACGCCACTCGACCGCCCGCACGCACATCCGGCACTATGGCAAATTAGCGCTTGCATTATCAAGGCTTCCACCACTTCTTCTTCTTGATCTGCCCCAAGTCGGCATCAGCCATCCCACTGGCGCTGCCACGCCTGGCCTCGGATGCTCCCACGAGCGGCATCGATGCGGACGGCGGCAGTGCAGCGCGAGTCTGCGCATAGGCATCCTCCATTACCGTCCCAAACCCATCCGGGCTGTCGCCCAGCTCGTCCTTAGTCGAGGCTCGACAATCGCTCGGCGGCTGCGGCAGCGAGTAGTTGCGTGGCAGTGACGGCTGGTCCGTCGAGTGTCGCCGCGACGAGTCCGACTCGCCCGCACGCATCGGCACACCGGCCAGGCCCGCCTCAGGTGCCTTGCCAGCGCCTGCCGTGAACGACGCCCTGGCACTCAGCCTCCGCGATGCCGGCTGCGACAGCTCCACCGACTGACGTGCACTTCGCGACAGAGGCGGGCCATTGCCCGTAGGTGACGCAAATCCGCGCTGCGGGTACACCGCTTCGAACGTCGAGCCGTCGTCAGCTTCCAAAAGAGCGCCCATGGGCTCCAACCCCAATGCCGCCGATGTCGAGCTCGCATCGGGAGCCGTCACTATGCCTGCATTGCCCGCATCCGAGCCCAGAGCCGTGCTCGATGGCAACGCACTCTCGCGTGCGGGTGCGCTTTTGGCCGTCGCCGCCTCTTCAGCGCGTAGCATGCGGTACGCCTGGCGCAGTTCGTCGTCCGATCCGTGCTCATCCTCTTCGTCCCGACTCGAACCAAACGTGGGGCGCTGCTGTGACAAAGCGCCCAGCGACATCGGAGCCAGCGCCTGGATCGACGTGCGTTGGCGCGGCGTCGGCGCATTGCTCTCGCTCATCTCGCTCATCCTCCTCGCGTGTCCGAGCCCAGTCTGTGGGCTCATCGAAGCGTCCATCTCGGACATCGCCTGCGACGGCCTTCGACTCGAGCGCGCCAGACCAAAGCTCGTTCTCCTGCCGCCTCGTGGCGATCCACCATCGGCCTCTGTCTGCTTGTCGTCTACCCTCGAACGCGCTTGCGCCGCGCTCACCGTGGCTCGGCGGCTCCTCAGCCGCGCCGGCGAGGATCTCGGCGACGTCTCGTTTGCTTCGCCGCTCATCACCACCGTGCCGAAGCTCGAGGTCGAAGACGCAAACGATGCCGCCGAGCTTTCCAGCCCTCCCCGTGCGGGCGACCGTGCGGGCGACGACATGAGCAAAGACGAGCCGGTCGAGCCGCCGTACCGAGACAGGCTCGAAAGCGCAGCACGCTGCAGACGCTCCATCGCAATCGGCCGCGGATCGTAGCCGGCCTGGTCAATGCACATCCCTGCGGCCTCCTCGATGCGGCAGCAGATCTGCACAAACTCCTGTGTCCTTTGTCGGATCGTCGTCGCCTCCCTCGCATCAGACTTTCCATCGTGGTCGCCAGCGTCCGAGGCCGCCCACACGCCGTCGACAGAGCCAAGGGGAGGATTGACATGCTCGCGCTCCTCGGCCGCATCGGCGACGAATGCTACAAATGCAGCCAGCGCCTGAGACTGGTCGATCATGTACGGAGCTCTTGGGATCGATTCCCGATGCAAGGGCGAGAGCGAGCTCAGCTTGCGCAATGCCGCCGCCTGAATCTCGGCATCGTCGTCGATCCTGGTCCCCAGCAGCTGCACTGGCGGTGCAGTGGGTGGCTCGGTAGAGACCACGCTGATGTAGTCGTCGTACGCCGACGAGTAGGTGCGCAGCAGATCGCTGAGCGGCAACAGCTCCCAGTCCTTGTCCTTGTCAAAGGCCACCTTTTTGCTGGCCAGCGCCAGCAGCACTTTGCTCAGCAGCAACAGCTTGCGCTGCGCACTTCGGTCCGGTTGCGACGGTGTGAGCCCGTAGAGCTGCGGAGCGTTGAGCGCCGCACAGAAGAGGCGCAGAAAGACAAACGCACCCACGCCTTGGATGCCCGGCCGCGTCGACTTGGAGCTGCGGTAGCGCTCGTTGACCTTGCAGCGGATCTGGTACAGCACCATGCGCAGATCGGCAGGGCAGCTGTGACGCTGCCGATAGATGTTCTGCCACATGGTCTCGCTGAGCTTGCGCAGCGAGTTGGTCGTCATCGGTCCGTCCGGGATGGCGTCGATGGCGTTGGCGGGCAGCGACGGCGGTGAGCGGATCGAGGTGCTGAAATCGAAATGTGGCTCCTCGCTTCCCGCACTGCCGACGGAAGCAGCCGATTCCGGTCGAGCTGGCGCGAGAGGATCGTGGCAAATCTTGCGCACCGTCGGGCCTAGGCATTCTTCCAGCCAAGAAAGCGCTCGAAGCCGCTGAAAGTGGTCGACGGAGCGCGACAAGAGCGTGTTGGCGCGGAAGAGCAGTTCCGGTTCCATCTTCTCGCCCCAAGTGGCACTCTCAGCCTCGATCAGAGCCGAGATGCGCTCGGAGATGGTGCCCGAAGCGGCGTAGATGCGGATGAGATGCGAAATGATGGCATCTTCGCGCATGGTGCTGGCGAGCTCGCTGATCATATCGGCCGCATCCGGAGCGTGAATCCTGGCATACACCTCCTCGTACATGCTCAGTGGCATCACGGCTCCCTCGTGCAGGCGGATCGAGAGCGATATCTCGCCGACGATGCCACGATGGAAGGTGGTCGGAATCCTACCGTCATCGGCGTCGTCGGCACCATGGTGCGATGGAAAGGTGGAGACGGACCAGATGGGGAAGCGGCCCTCGACCTCTTCGTTCCTTCGCAGCGTCTCGATGGGGATCTCGACCAGACCTAACAGGATGTACTTGCCTCCGGCGTTGGCAGCCGAGCTCGAGAGCGAGCTGGTGGTCTTTTGCGTAGGGTGCAGCACCTCGATGAGCAGCGACCGTGCATCGCCGACGTCTTTGAGATGGAACTTGTCGATGGCAAACGTGTTGGTGGCGGCGGCGGACTGAGAGAGGCTGGTGCGTGCGACGAGCTCGCCATCGAGACGGATGCGGCAGTAGCGATCGAAGCGAGCCTTTTCGAAGCGGTCCTTGTCGTCGCGCCGCTGTGCCGATGCGCGCGAGGTGGTGGAGAAGCTGGAGCTGTGGCTGAGGCCGGCATGGATGCTCGGTGCGGCCTCGCTGGTGGAGGTGTGTGCAGAGGCAAAGCGACTGGCGCCGGCGTGACCGCTAAGGGGGCCAGTGTGGTGATCGCCGGTGGAGCTTGCATCGTCCTCGGCGATGGAATGGGCATCGTAATGCGAAGCCGTGCGCGAAGCCGGTCGGCTGGATCCGCTCGCAGCATTGTTGTCGTCAGCGAGATCCGGATGGTTGCGAATGCTGCTGACCGAGGGCTTGGCATTGTGGCGCAGACGAGAGCTGGGTCGAGAGCCGGGGCGGGAGCCGGGCCGCGATCCGGGCCGTGAGCCTGCGCGGGACGATCCGGAGAGGCCGTCTTCGGTGAGCGGCTCGGAGCCAGGCGACTGCGAATCTTCGTTGTCGTCGGAGCGGAGCGAGGCGAGCTGGTGCGAGAGCGATCTGGGAAGCTCGCCGCTGGCGATGCTGGGAGCGCCACCTGCACTGGAGACGGTGGGCGAAGCGGGCTGGCTGCTGTGCATGAGCGGATGGTTGCCCGAGCGGATGGGAGAAGCCGGCAGAAGATCGGTGGTGGCGTCCGAGATGGGCCATCGTGGCATGATGCTTTTGGCGTCCGAGATGGTGATGTCGAGCTGCCGGAAAAAGCGGTGCGTGCCGCCGGTGTCGAGCGTGGCGGGCGATCCGTAGATTTCGGGCCTGGCGTAGATGTGGAGGAGGGTGCGCACGTATTGGAGCTGCTCTTCGGACTTGAACTCGATGAAGATGGGCTCGGGAGGAAGCGTGCGTTCGTTGAGCGATGCGGCTTCGTGTCTGCGGGTGGTGATGGAGACCTCGGTGCGAGCGCGAGACTGGCGCGGGCGGACGGCGAGGACGTGAGGTCGTCCAAAGAGCGAGTCGTCGACAGCGCGGACGTCGGTGTGGGAGAGGGCGCCGCAATTGAGCGTGTGAGTGAGGGCGTTGCCTTCGCCAAAGATGGACAGGCCGCCGTTGTCGCGGAACAAGAGCGTGGCGCGCTTGAACTGGCCTAGAGGGCCGACGGAGGACGAGGGCGAGTTGAGGCGACTCTTGCTGGGCTTTTCGCGAAGCCAAGATGAGCCGCCGTGGCGGAAACCGAAGGAGGCGCGCTCAAAGACGGCGTCCTGGCCGATCTCGGCTGCGCGGGACTGGTTGGAGGTGGCTCGCAAGGAGAGCTTCTGCTTGACGGAGGCGGCATCGCGGAAGAGCGGAGCCCTGGCGAGGGTGGAGGATGCACTCTTTGCGGTGGAGGGCCACCAGACGAGCACGCTGAGGGAGACTTCGGCATCACCGGTGACGGGCGAGCGGGGGCTGCCTCTTATGGAGCCGGAGCCGGAGCGAAGGCGCGTGAAATTGGCCTCGCGACGTGCCGAAAAGGGCGAGCTTTGTGGGCTCGAGTCGAGAATGGAACGAGAGTAGTGCATGTCGGGAGAGGCGCGAGAGGCGGAATGCGAGGATGCTGATGCCCCGAGCTGGGATGAGAGCGCGGCGGGGACGGATGAGGAAACGGCTGGGCGCGCGAACGGGGTGGAAGTGGAGCGAGGGGAGCCACGCGGGTCTGGGATGGCGGAGGAGGAAGGGGAAGAGGAGTAGTGTGGCTTTGAGCCAGCTGAGCTGGAGAAGGATGCAGAAGCGGGGATGTTGGCACGAGCGTAGACAGGCGCGCGATCGTTTATAGACGGGATGCGCGTTGGTGCTGCGCGGAAGGAAGGTGATGCTCGAGATACATGTTGTTGCTGCTGTTCGTCGGTGAGAGGTTGCGGGGACGTTGGGGACGTTGTAGACTCGGAGGTGTGAGCTGCTTGGAGCGCCGGGGCGGCGGAGGAGGAAGAGGAGGACGAGTAGGAGGAGGATGAGAAGGAGGGGAGGCGGTTGATGGTGTGGAAGGAGGCATCGGGCGAGGCGGGGTGAGAGCGCATATCCTGATTGCTTGCACGCTGTTGCAGGGGCTGTGAGCGTGAAAGGGCGATGTGAACGGTGTCCGAGGATGGATGCGCGGAAAGTTGCGCGTCGAAGGATGGCGTTGGTGGAAGCGCGGATGAGGAGGTGGCTGCATGCGAAGTGGGGGATGCCAGCGGAGCGGGATCTTCTTCCAAGATGGCGGCCGGTGCAGATAGTGGAGACGATGCATGCATGGACTGCAGGCGCGAGCGGTCCAAGCTTGCACGGGGCGGGCGAGGGGGTGGGCTGGCCGGCGATGCTGCATCCCGTCGACGCATGCTGGTGTCGTGATCAAGTGGGAGGTTGGAGGACGATGCAGCGGTCTCCCTGCCACCTGGTGATCCAGACGACGACATTGATGAGGTGCGGATCGATCCGGATGAGTGCGAGGTGTGAGTGGAGCGGTCCGAGCGCCGGCCAAGTGTGTTTGCGCAAGGCCTTGCGGGAGCTAGAGGTGCAGGTATGTTTTTGTCGAGCGGGTATCAAAGCATTGTGTGCGGCTGTGCGGTTTCGGATGCCGCTGATGTTGCTGATGCGAGAGCGGTTGCGGATGCGGTTGCGGATGCGGATGCGGATGCGGATGCGGATG